TGGCGCCTCGATGTGCTTTCGGTTCGAGGGCCGCAAGTCCTCATCCTCGTCGTTGTCCTGCTGGTCTTCCTCCTCCTCATCCTCCTCTGCCTCCTCCTGCTTATTCTCCTGACGGGTGGTGATGTTTGTGATGCCGAGGATGCTGATTGAAGTTGGTGATGATGATGATGATGATGATGGTGGTTGTCAGGACGATTGTAACTGTTTATCATGTCGATGAGGATGCGATTTATGTTGGCCATGATGTTGATGTTGATAGGGGTTGCGAGGATGATTATCATTTCAGAGGCATTGAGGAATATGATGGTAAAGGCGATGATGATATGATGATTATGATGATGGCGATGCTGATGATAACGGTGATGATGATGATGGCGATGATGGTTATGATGGTGGTGGTAGTGGTGCATTTCATTTAGTGAGTCTGGCTTGAGACAAGGTACGTCTTACGTTTTGCCGAAAAATGATCGGTAACGGTCGCCAGCAAAAGTCGGTAACGGTCGGTAACGGTCGGTAACGGACTCATAAATTTGATATAAAATCGATGAACATCCGCTACCGTTCGCTACCGTTCGCTACCGAAATCGACTCTTTTTCGGTAGCGGGCCGCGACCGATCGCTACCGAAATTTTCGCAGGATCGGTCGCGACCGGTCGTTCCCGATCGCTACCGAAATTTTTCGGTAGCGCATGATCTGGGCTTCGGAGGTTTGTTCGGATCACCCGAGTAGGCCTCGACGATCTGCGACACCCGACGGCGCAACACCTCAATGCTGGCCATGCTGGGCAAATTGACCTGGTCGTAGCTTCCCGCATAGAAGATCGCCGTGAGCAGGCACTTCATCTCGATGTAGTTGCGGCCCGTCTGGCTCAGCAGCCGGCCCCGCGCCCACAGGTCCAACCAGAGCAAGGGGGGCCCGCCGTTCTGCTCCCAGCGCTTCACCATGTGCTCCACCGTGCTGAGGCCGTCCTCGAGTGGCCAGTCCTTGAACGTGTACTTCCTGATCTCGCGGGCAACCTCGCGCCACGACTTGTGGCGGTCCCCTTGCTCGTCGTGCTGAACCCACATCGTCCTCGCGTCGTCGACCGAGTCCGCCTCGCGCGCCCCCTCCGGGGGGGGCACCCCCAGCCTGTCTCTCAGGTCCTGGTCGTCAGCGCTGGGGCCCGTGGCCTCGGCAGCTCCGCGCGAGGGGTCTGCCTCGCCACCATGTGGCAAGGCCGGCGGCGGCAGCGGAGGTCCCCTGGCGCGGGCGTCGGCGGGCAGGTCCCTCTCGACCAGCCCGAGCAGCTCCCATCGGGCGCCTGTCCCTGAAGGAGTCCACCGCGCCGACGGGGGCCGCCTCCACGAGCTGCCAGGGGCCGGCCTCCCTCACCATCGCGCGGTCGTCGCCCAGCCTGACGCCGCCAGCCTCCAGCACCACCTCGACTCCCAAGCGAAGGGGGCCGGGCGAGTTGACCAGCCAGCAGCATCCCTCAGGCGGCTCGAGCGCTGGCGGGGCGGGAACGAGGGGCGTCGGTCCCCCCGACGGCGCCCCTGGCCCCCCGCAGCGGAAGGCGACGTCGTAGGAGCCCGAACGGGCGAGAGACCCCCTCCCAGGTGTAGACCTCCGCGGGGTCATCCAGGGGCTCGTCACCGACGTGCTCCTGCTGGTCGGTCCTCGACCTGAGCACCTCGCTGCGCAGCTCTTCCCAGGTCAGCGGCTGCGCAAACCGGTAGAAGGAGCCGTGGGCCAAGGCGGGCGCTGTGCCGTCCACCGCGACGACGAAGGCCCTGTTGCAGCCGTCGCCGACGGACCCCGACACGTCCTCGACGTACCGATCGGCGTCTGGCGTCAGCACCCACCAGTATGTGCCCCCCGCAGGGTAGAGCAGCACTCGCTCGTGCCACACCGTGTCGCGCGGGTACCACAACCCGACCCGTCGTCCTGGCCGGAGCTCACTGCACCACGCCCCCACCTCGACGAGAGCGCCGTCCGCGGCCAGGGTCGTCCGCCCGCGGCGGCGGCGGGGGAGCGGGGCGATCATCGCGACGGGCTCGGGCCACCGCGCAGCAGCACACCAAGATCACTCCCTCCACGCAAGCAGTCCCCCCCGTCAGGAGGAAGGCGAAGAGACGGCCTTCGCCCAAGGCTGGGCCTGCCTCGGGCACGCGCGGAGCCGCGCGGGCCTCCCAGGCCCCAGGGGCGGCAGCCGCTCCAGCAGCGCCGCTGCCACCTCGGCGGCCGAGGGACAGGTGGCTGGCGCAGGCGAGGAGTTCGCCACCAGCCAGGGCCCGAGCTCCTGCGCCACAGCCGCGGCCACCGCGCCGGCGCTCGGCGCTGGCGGTGGCGGCGGCGGCGGCGGCGCGGGTGGGGGCCACTGCGGCGCGTGGCACACGCAGGACGGGCAGCTGGTCGAGGCGGCCACCAGCGCCGCCAGCCAGCTCGCCGCCCAGCGCAGCCCGGCCCAGGCAGCCGGCGCCCCCACCGCGGCACTCACCGCGAGCGTGGCGGCGCCGCCAGGGGCCATGGCCCAGCCCCGCTCATGCACTTGAGAAAGATCAAAAGCCATGGAGCGGCCCAGACAATAACGTGCAAAAGCTCCTAATGAAAATCAGCGATTTTGACCTCTCGGAGCTCTCTTGGGAGGCCTCTTGGGAGGCCTATTGGGCCGTTTTGGGAGGCCTCTTGGGAGGCCTATTGGGCCGTTCCTAAGGCGGTCCCCTCGTCCGCCCCCCTCTCTTCGAACCAGTTTTGAAGCCCCGTGGCACCTCTTGGGGACCTCTTTTGGGCTCATGGGGGCCTCTTGGGCCTCTCTGGGCTCGTCTATCGCGCCCCTTGGGCTGTCTTGGGGCCCCCTAGGGCCTTCTTGGGCGGTCCTCGGGCAGTTTTGGAGCCATTTTGGGCCGCTCTTCGGGCCATCTTGGGGTCCCGTTGGCCTGTCTTGGGCGCCGCTGGGGCCGTCCTGGGGCCGCCTTGGACCGTCTTGGGGCCCTCTTGGACCGTCTTGGGGTCCTCTTGGGGACCTCGTGGACCGTCTTGGAGCGGTCTTGGATGCTTCTGGGGGGGGTTCCGAGCGTCGGGAAGCCGAAAAAGCGAGGAAGAACAGAACTTATGAAAAACAAATGAAAATCAACGATTTTGGCCTCACGGGGCTCTCTTGGGAGGCCTCTTGGGAGGCCTGTTGGGCCGTCTTGGGGAGCTCTTGGGCCGTCTTGGGTCAATCTCGGGCGTCTTGGCCGGATCATTGCGCGTCTCGGGGCCCTCTTGGGCCGCCTTCGGGGCATCTTGAGCGGGTCGGAGCCGTCTTTGAGCGGCTCGGAGCCGTCTTTGGGCCGTCGGGGCGGCCTCCGGAGCGTCTCGGAGCCGTTTCCGGCCATTTGGTCGTTTTTTACTTCCGGCACGCGGTCCCTCCGGCCATATAGTATAGACTAGGGCTGACCCGTGGAGTACGTCCACGACATCTGCTCGAGGTGGCGAGCGGTGTCTGGGCAAGCGTGCTTGCTTCTGCCCGGTGCCTTTTTCAGCCGCTTGCTGTTGCTGAGCGCTGCGTGCTGTTACTCGCGGCTTTTCGTTGTGTCTGCCTTGGGTGCTTGCCGCGTAATTATGTCGTTTCTTGCTGATTGATCCCGACCTCTCGTCCTCCTCCTCCTCCTCCTCCTCCTCCTCCTCCTCCTCCTCCTCCTCCGCCTCCTCCTCCTCCTCCTCCTCCTGGTCCACGTCCTCCTGGTCCTCCTGGAGGCCTCTGGGGGTCTCCTGGGGCCTTCTGAGGGCGGAGAGCTGGATATGTTAGTCTGTGGTCCCTCTCTTGGGCCTCTCTTGAGGCCTTCTTGGCGGCACTTTGGGCTCTCCTGCGCGCGCATTGGGCCGTCATGGGGCCCTCTTGGGCCGTCTTGGAGCTCTCTTGGGGGCATCTTCGGCCACAAAAGAGCATAGAAAAAGCGCATGGGAGGCTTGTTGGGGGCCAGCTGGCGGTGTCTGGGATCATCCTGGAGCGGAGGGCGCGAAAAGGTCAGTTCGAGGTCCCCCCCTGGTGGGGCCCTCTTCGGGCCGTCTTGGGTCGCCTTGGGGGGGCTCTTGGGTCATCCTGGGGCGCTCTTGGGCTGTCTGGAGGCTCTCTTGGGGGCCTCTTGGGCCATCTTGACGCGATCGTGGACGCCCTGGGGCGGTGGGGCGTGGAGGCTCCGAAAATGCGAGCAAGTCAGACTGGAGCCTTTGCAAATGAGGGAAGAAAATAAGAGGCGCATGGGCGCCTTATTTTCCTGGGTGGCCAGCGCGGTTCCAGAGCTCTCCGAGGGATCTTCCCTTGGAAGCCTTTTGGAGGCGGCTTTGGGGGTGTCTTCTGGCCTCTCGAGGGTCTCTGGGAGCCTGATTTGGGCCTCGTCGGGGCCCTTCTGGGGCGTCTGGGGGAGGCCTCCCGGGGGCCAGCTGGCGGCGTCTGGGATCACCATGGAGCGGAGATCATGGAGCGAATGGCGCGACATGTCAGTTCGAGTTCCCCCTCGTGTGGTCCTCTTGGGTCCTTCTTGGGCCGTCTTGGGGGGCTCTTGGGCCGTCTTGGGCCGTCTGGGAGCCCTCTTGGGGGCCCTGGGGCCGGCTGGGAGCGCAGAGACTCCCAGCCGGCCCCAAGGCCCCCAAGAGAGACTCCCAGCCGACTGGGGTGCTCCTGGAGCCTTCTCGAGCCGTGTTTGGGACCTCTTGGGCCGTCTGGGGCCTGCTCAGAGGCCATCGTGGGCTCTCTCGGGGCCCTCGGGCGCTGGCCTTTGGGGCTTTCCTTTGGCCCTCCTGGGCCAGGACGGCGAGGCGCCGCGGCTCGGGTGCGCAGAACGGCCACTTCTGGCACGCAGCACAGCCGGTGGTGCGCCATAGCTGACGTTGGGCTGGACCTACACGTTGTTTTCCGTTGTGTGCCCGTTTTGTTTGTCGTTTTGCTCGGCCTCTTTCCCTGCATCTGACTCCCACGACGAAGAAGCAATGCACGGCCGAAGTGCAGCAAAACAGCGTCTAGGTCCAGCCCTGTGGCTGACATTGGGCTCCAGCTTCGCCAGCCACATTTCGCCGAGCAGCGCCAGAGCCCGCTGCCACTGCTCGCCCTTCTGGCACGCGCTGATCACAGAGTCGTAGCTGACTAGGGTGTACCCGTGGACCTACGTCCACTTGCGAAGTGATGGGGCGCTGCCGTCAGGCGATCACGATGGATGGCGTCAGGTTCGCCTTCCACATGTCGCCGAGCAGCTGGACCGCCGCCTGATTGGGGAGCATGGGAGATGAGGAGGCTCGATCGGGCCATGTGCAAAACGCACTGGGAACGGAGGCGCGATGGAGCAGCCGGGGGGGAAGAACACGGATGTCTCCCCATGCACCTCATTATCCTTCTGTTTCTCCTGTTCCTCCTCCTCCTCCTCCGTTTCCGTCTCCGCCTCCTCCTCCTCCTCCTCCTCCTCCTCCTCCGCCTCCCATTCCTCCTTCTCCTGCTCCTCGTCATCCTCCTCCTGGTCCTCCTCCTCCTCCTCCTCCTCCTCCTCGTCCTCCTCCTCCTCCCCCTCCTGACTCCCTCATCCTTCTCAGTGCCCTCCTGATCATCCTCGTCCCCCTCATCCTGTCCCTCATGTTCCTCTTCATTATCCTCTCCTTCGGGTTCTCCCGCCTGTCCCTCTGCAGCGTTGGAGCGCAGCGCGACAACACCCTTCGGCAAGGCGTCAAAAAATGCGGTTGCGTCGAAGGCGTCGGCAGGGCCCAGTCTCGCGGGGTCTTCCTAGGCCTCTCTCGGGGCTCTTTTCGAAGTTCCTGAGATCTTCTTGTGCTCCTTTGGGGAGCCCCTCGCGGCTTCAAGGCCGTCTCGGTAAGAACCTCGAGGGCGCCAGGACGGAACCAAACATAACTTCGTGGTGTTCGTTTTGAGGGGCGCTCACAACGAACAGAGCGCGACATCTCGCGGGGTCTTCCTAGGCCTCTCTCGGGGCTCTCTTCGAAGTTCCTGAGATCTTCTTGGGCTCCTTTCGGGGGCCCCTCGCGGTTTCAAGGCCGTCCCGGGAGGGGCCTCGAAGCCGCCAGCACGGAACGCAACAGAGCTTCCAGGTGTTCGTTTTGAGGGGCGCTCAAAACGAACAGTGCCCAGCCCGTGGTGGAGCCTTCCCAGGCCTCTCTCGGGCTCCCTTCGAAGCGTCAGAGATCTTCTTGGGCTCCTTTGGGAAGGTCCTCCCGGCTTGAAGGCCGTCGTGGTAGGGGCCTCGAGGGCGTCAGGACGGAACCAAAATGAGCTTCGAGGTGTTCGTTGTGAGGGGCGCTCAAAACGAACAGTGCGTGGCCTCTCGCGGGGTCTTCCTAGGCCTCTCTCGGAGCTCTCTTCGAAGTTCCTGAGATCTTCTTGGGCTCCTTTGGGACGCTCCTCGCGGCTTCAAGGCCGTCTCGGTAGGGGCCTCCGGGGCGCCAGGACGGAACCAAAAATAGCTTCGTTGTATTCGTGTTCAGGGGCGCTCACAACGAACAGAGCGCGGCCTCTCGCGGGGTCTTCCTAGGCGTCTCTCGGGGCTCTCTTCGAAGTTCCTGAGATGTTGTTGGGATTCTTTGGGAAGCTCCTCGCGGTTTCAAGGCCGTCTCGGGAGGGGCCTCAAGGGCGCCAGGACGGAACCAAAAAGAGCTTCCAGGTGTTCGTTTTGAGGGGCGCTCAAAACGAACAGTGCCCAGCCCCTGGTGGGGTCTTCCTAGGCCTCTCTCGGGGCTCTCTTCGAAGCGTCTGAGATCTTATTGGGCTCCTTTGGGGGGTCCTTCCTGGCTTGAAGGCCGTCTTGGTCGGGGCCTCGAGGGCGCCACCACGGAACCAAAAAGAGTTTCGTGGTGATCGTTGTGGCTCTCTTCGAAGTTCCTGAGATCTTCTTGGGCTCCTTTGGGGGGCTCCTCGCGGCTTCAAGGCCGTCTCGGTAGGGGCCTCGAAGGCGCCAGGACGGAACCAAAAAGAGCTTCCAGGTGTTCGTTTTGAGGGGCGCTCAAAACGAACAGAGCGCGGCCTGTCCGGGGTCTTCCCAGGCCTCTCTCTGGGCTTTCTTCGAAGTTCCTGAGATCTTCGTGGGCTCCTTTGGGAGGCTCCTCGCGGTTTCAAGGCCGTCTCGGGAGTGGTTCGTTTTCCCGAGGAAATGCCTCCTTTCCCCTCCTCAGACGCTCCTGCCTGCGCGTGGTGGAGTGTCTTGGGCCATCGTGGGCGCGAGGGGGAGGCTGCTGAGCTTCCAGGGCGCCTCCGGGGAGGCATCTCGGAGCGTCTCGGAGCGGCCTGGGGCAGCCTCGGAGCCGCGCTGGAGTCGACCAGAGCTTGCTGGGGCGCCCGGGGAGGGCTCCGGAAGGGCTGGCCCGCGGCCACTGCTTAACCATTTTGGCGAGCGGTGAACGCTGCATCGTAGTAGAGACTAGGGCTGACCCGCAACTCCCCAAGACGTCCACAAATAGCGCAAAGATGGCTCCCAGAGGGTCCAAGAAGCCTCCAAAACGATGCTGGAAGTTCGACGCTCCCCAAGAGAGAAGCATCCAAGTCCTCTCGGGGGCCGCTTCGGGGCCTCTTTTCGTCCTCCTGGGGGTGGGTCTCTCGGAGCCCTCTCTGGCAGTCCTGAATGCATCCTGGGCCGTCTTGGGGCGATGTGGGGCTGTCTTGGGCGCCTCTCGGACCATCTTGGGCCAATTTTGGGCGCTGCTGGGGCTGTCTTTGGTGTTTCTTGAGCCGTCTCGGGCGTTTCTGGAGCCGTCCTGGACGGCCCAAAAAACCGTCTTGGAGACTGTCCAAACGGAAAGGCCTGGAGACGGGGCGGCGGTGGCCTCCGCAGCCGTCTCGGAGACGGGGCGGTGGATCCGTCTTGGGCCATTCTGAGCTGCTCCTGGGGCTGTCTCGGGTGCGCCTGGGGCCGTCTCGGGCGCCTCTGGAGCCGTCCCGGGGCAGTGTGTGGCCCTTTGGGCGCCCTCACGGGGGCGTCTGGGCGCGTCTTTGGGCGAGCTGGGGGGCACGCCGCGGGGACGAAAAAACACGATATATTGAAAATGTACGTTTCCCGTCGGGAATGGGACGGTTTGGGCCTCCTGGGGCTCTCCTGGAGGCCCTCCTGGGCCGTCTTGGGAGCCTCCTGGCCTGCCTTGGGGGCCTCTGGGGCTGTCGTGGGGCCCCCAAGGGTGCTCTGAGGCCGTCTTGGCGCCCCCTGGAGCCTCTCGGGGCCGTCCCGTTGGCCATTCTCGGCTGCTTTTGGGGCTGTCTTGGGTGCGTCCTGGGCCGTCTCGGGCGCCTCTGGAGGAGCCTCGTATGGCCATTTCGGCGCGTCTTTGGGGGGAGGGCTCGGTTTGTGACGCTCGGGGGCCAGGATCTGCGTGAGGGGTGTCGAAAAATTACCCTCCAGGAGCGCATCGGTGCACGACCTTCTGGCGCGCGCTGATGTCCGCCATAGGGGCCCTGGGCTCGGAGTGTCAGGGTTTTTCCCTGTTTTGTGGCCCCCTCTTGTGCCTGGCTTGGGGTCCTCTGGGGCCGGCTTGGGCGCCTCGAGGGCCATCTTGGGGCTCCCTGGGCCGTCTGGGGACGCGCTTGGAAGCCTAGTAAGCCGTCCTGGGGCGGTCTGTGGGTCTCTTCGGCCGTCTTGGAGCGTCGGCCAGCCGAGAATGCGAGAATTCCTTCAATTAGCCTGACGAAGGACCAAACCATATGCACGCGTGAACACCGCACTTGTGATTCACTTTTTCGGTGGTGATCCCTATGAGGCAACGAGCCGTGCTAGTGGTGTGCCGAAATGACTGGCGTGGTAAACAACGCGAACGAAAACTATCTCAGTGCGACCCTACCAAGAAGTTGGAGCCCCGAGGAAAGCAGCATTCGTTGTTATGCGATGCTATGATATGCAATACCATGTTATGCTGCGCTATGCTGTGCTGTGCTATGCGAGGCTGTGCTGCGTTGTGCTATGCTACGATATGATGTGGTATGATATGATGCGTTATGCTAAGTTATGCTGCGTCATGATGCGATGTGATATGCTAAAGTATACTATGATATGATATGATGCGCTGGGCTGCGCTATGCTGTGCGATGCTATGATACGGTATGCGATGCTCTGCTCTGCTATGCTATGCTGCGCTATGATATGCTCTGCTATGGTATGATTGGCTATGTTATGCGATGGCTGGCTATGCTAATGCAGCGCGGCGCTATGCTAAGGTAAGCTAAGCTAAGCTAACCCTCTAGGCAGAGCCTAGATCGGGAATTACACCCATGCTAATGCTTTGATTTGCTTTGCGTTGATTGCGCTTTGCTTTGCAGTCGCTGCTGTTGCTTTGCCTTTGCTTTGCTGCTGTGCTATTATTTGCTCTGCTCTGCTATGCTATGCTATGCTATGCTGCGCTGTGCTATGTTGTGCTGCGCTGTGCTGCACAATGCTATGATATGCGATGTTGTGCTATACTATGCTATGCGATGCTGCGCAATACTATGTGATGCTGGGCTATGAGATGACATGCTATGCTGCGCTACGATATGCTACGCTATGCTATGTTATGATGTGCTGTGTCACGCTAGAGCTCAGCGGAGCTAAGATGAATGAAAGCTAAGCTTAGATAAAACTGAGGTAAGATGAAGCTAGGCTAAGCTAAAATGAAATAAGCTAAGCTAAGATGCGATAAGCAACGCTAAGTTAAGGGGGCGTAGCTGGGGGAACCGCGGGGCGAATGCTGGGGGAACCGCCCAGGGCGGGGTCCACTGCCCGCCCCTTTAAGCTACAGGGTAAGAACCCTTCTAGGCAGAGCCTAGGTAGGGAACGATTGATCAGAGTACGTAGGGAGACTGAGCGCGGTTGAATCTGAGCGCGAGTGCGTCTGACTGTGAGTGAATCTGCGTGCGAGCGAGTCTACGTGCATGAATGCGAGTATGACAAAGCATGGTGTAATTGTCTCTGAGTGTCAATAGTTTGAGAATGGCTGCCTCTGGGTACTCGTGACGCTGGGCGTGGCCGCCGCAAGGACCTTCCCCGGGACTCCCCGACGGCATCGCCGGCGCGCCGCGACGCCAATGTCGGCGCGCCCCCCCGCGAGGATCGCGCCCGCTCCCCCCCCTTCTGTTACTCCCTCTTTGCCCGCGCACTCAAAAGTCCAAGGCTGCAGGCGCAGCGC